CTAGCACATGCTGGGGCGCGCACCAACAGCACAGTCATCAGATGCTCCGATGCTTGTCCTGGGAATCCCCTTGGCCACAAAGATCTCTGTTCTCTCTTTGATTCTCTGCGACACAGGCCAGAGAGGAAGCAGTATGGGGGGCCAGCCCCCCAACAGAGATTTAGAGGGTCCCTGGAAGGTGGGGCAGCGTCGGCGAATATTCTGGAGAAATAAGGAGAAAGAAAGAGACTGGACTCTGTCTAGTGCAGAAGCCGATTCTGTAGCAGGGAGAGACATTAAAAGAAAGCAAGAAGGAGGCATAGATATAAGGAGGAAGAAAGAGAAAGAAAGAAAGTGGACGACTGTTCAGTGAAACGAGCAGAAGCCGTTCATTGGGACCAGCCGTGAGTCTTTCATCCCAAACTTTCACATGTGAAATCACAAGACTTTCACGTGCGCACCAGACCAGGTGGGTGAGGCGCTTCCCCCACCCACCAGGCGTTTCCTTAGGCATGAGGAAGGACAGTCCCAATCGAATCACAAGACTTTTACGCAAACACAAAGCCAGGTAGGTGGGGGCGTCCCCCACCCACCAGGCGTTTTCCCAAGCATGAGGAAGTACACTCCCAAAGATATCTCGCTGTTCCTCATGCTTGGTTTATATTCCTCAAAAGCAATATAACTAAGATCCTAATACCTTTCTTATCTGTGCTAATTTTACCTGTACTATAAACAACTCTTAATTACGGCTTAAACCAGTCCCTAAAGATCGTGGCCCAGCCCAAAGTTTGTGCTGGGCCATTTCTGGCATCCCTAGATAATAATTTATATCATCTAACGCTGGAAACAGCCCTCTAAATGTATATACTAATTTTATAAATATATTTTTAAATCTTATAAAGAAGCTTGTATTATGTATAAGGCTCCCAAATGTGATCTGAATTTGAACTGTGTTAAGTTTAAGGCCAAAACGCAGTCTGTGAGAAACGGGAACAATGGATCCTTAGAGTCAGTCATGCCTGTCATATTCTCAGAACTTCATGAGTAGATCGTCAAAATCCCTGCCAGTGGGTAATGCTAAACAACAAAGAAAGGAGGAGGGAATGGGCCTTCAGCTCCTGAATCAGCCTGGTGGTCTCATGGTCCGCAGCCCGCCTGGATCCCTAACGCTCAAGCAGGCCTCCACAGCCGGCTCCCAACAATTTCAGAGAGAGTGCATTTTTAGGTGAACTGTGTCTATCACTGTTGCACATAGTATCTACTTTGTCTCCACCTGAAGTCAAGTTGAGGGAAATGTGTCTTTAACTGTTTTATATTGTATGAGGGTGATTTTGCAAGTGGGTGCCTGCTGTTTGAAATTAGTTCCTAACTGCTGGAATTTGAAGGATTTTATCTCATCCTGGGTACAGTTTAGGGGGAGCTAAGTCCGTCATTGTTGTATGTTGTATAAAATGTGTCTCTAAGTTGTAGCATGTTTTGAAATGTATGTTTAACTGTTTTACTTTGTATGTGTGTGTTTGCACAACTGGATATATGCTGAGTGAAATGTGTCCCTGTCTACTGCATTTCAGATGAGCTGTTTCTGTCACTGTTGTACATAGTAGAAACTGTATCTCCATCTAACCATCTAAAGGCAAGTTAAGTGAAATGTGTGTTGAACTATTTTACAATGTATGTGGGTTCTTTCCAAGTGTGTGTATGATGTTGGAAATAAGTATCTCACTGTTGAATATTGAATGACATTATTTCATACTTGGTGCATTTGGGGATGACTTGTATCTGTCTTTGTTGATGATGGATGAAGTGTGTCTCTAAATTGGGGCATATTGTGTGAAATGTGTTTTAACTGTTTCACGTTGTATAAGGGTGTTTTGGCAAATTAGGTGCATGCTGTATGACACATGTCTCAGATGGTTGCACATTGAATGAGACTATTTTGTACTGGGTGTAATTTTTGGTGAGATATGTCTGTCATTTTTTGCACTTGTATGAAATGTTCTCTCACTTGAGGCATTGTGATCTGTGTGTTTAACTGTTTTGTGCTGCATGCTGGTGTTCCCCCAACTGAATTCATAATTTATGAGTAGTGCCTCTCACTGTTTCATGTTGAATTAGATAACTGTGTGTATTTTTAGATGATCTATGAAACACTGCACAAAACTTGTTTCTGATTGTGGGCATTTGTGTGAAATATGTGTTTAACCATTTTACAATGTATGCAAGTGTTAATGCAACTGGATACATACTGAATTAGATATGTCCCTGACTGCTGCCCAATAAATGAGATTATCTCATGTGGAGTAAATTTTTGAAGACTGTTCAAAAGACTGGAGTAAATTTTTGAAGACTGCTAAGCCTGTCATTGCTAAAAAATTTAAGAAATATATTTCTAAATCAGAGCTTGTTGTGTTAGACGGATATTTACTATTTTAAGTTGTTTAAATGTGTTCATGCAACTAAGTTCATGCTGTATGACAAGTGTTTGACACTGTAGAACATTGAATAATATTATTTCATTATAGATTACATTTTTGGATGAGTTATGTCTGTCATGGGTGCACAATATATGAAATGTGTTTATGTCTGTCATTGCTGCATGATATATAAAACCTGTTTTTCAATTGGGGAGTACTGTGTGAAATGTGTGTATTTTATGTTATGTGGTGGTGATTTCTCAACTACATGCAGTTGTATGACATGAATCACTAACTGTTACCCAGTGGATGAGATAAGTTAACAATGGGTACATTTTTGGATGAGCTGTATCTGTCACCATTGCATGTTGTATGAAATTTGTCTCTAATTCTACATATGGAGTGTGAAATATATGTTGAACAATTTTACTTTGTATGTGAGTGTTTTTACAACTGGGAAAAACTGAATGATACATACTGAATGAACTGTGTAACTCGTCGTTGCACAATAAGTGATTATTTTAGGTTTGGCACATTTTTGGGTGAAGTATGTCTTTCACTGTTGCAGGTTATAAAAATATGTAACTCCTGGCATCTTGTGTGAAGTGTGTGTTTAACTTTATTTTTATATTATATGCAGATGTTCTGTTGCACGTTGAATGAGATTGTATTATACAGTGTGCAATTATATTATACAGTGTGCAATGCTATTG